TTCCAGTTTCTTGTCATACTTGACATCAGGCATGTTCATTTGTGTGGTTTCTCTTTTACTTGCCATGGTAATTCTCAGTCTTTCTGCTTTGTCTCTCTGAAAGACACTCAAGGAGGATCACAAGTATCACCTCTATTGTGAAGTCTTCCTTGGTTTCTGTAGTTGAATGGATTCCTACTCATAGTTATAAACCTGAAGATACATATTATATATGCTGCCTTTTTTATTTCCTGTCTCATCTCCATAGCTGATGACTGCTTACTAGGCTAGTCTGTTCTTTGAGTTCCATGTCTTTAATTTACCTTTATTTTTTAAGTTTAGTTCATCCTTGTAACCTCTTCTAATAAATATTAATTATTGCTACCATATGCTGAATGCCAGACACAATCACAATCAACTTACATTCATTAGCTTATGTCATCTTTGTAAGAAAGATATGATTGTTATGTGCCCATTTTATAGACAAGAACACCGAAGCAAAGAGAAATTAAGTGTTGTAGGTGTATAGTGGAGCATAGGTCTCATGATTTAAGGCTGGCTGCTGAAGCTCCAAAGTTTGTCCTTGAGTAGTCCTGCCTGCTTTTCCACTGTAACGACCCCCACAGTTGAAGAATAATATCTCCATAATCCCCTGGTCCAGCTGCTGGCCCTGTGTTTAGAGACTGTGTTTATAGGTCTTTTCTTTTAGGTACAACAAAGCTGCATCTTGCATTTACCAATTAGCCAACCTGTGTTGAATGAAAGGCAGACTGAAAGTGTAAGGCACTGTAAGGAGGGGCAAAGAGGGAGCGCTGAAGAGGGATGAGAAAAGTCTATTCTGTCACAAATGGACCTAAGTATGCTTGCTGGCAAGGATGCCAATGGACAGAGGGAAGAGACCATTCAAAGAAGTTGAGACCTTGAATGGTGAACACCCTGAAGGAGTGGAAGTCAAGGAAGAAAGATCCAGCGGCCGTGAAGCCGGAGTGGAGCCAACAGCTGACAGAGACACTGGGTTTCCAAGGAAAGATGAAGACCAAAACTGTGCTTGGTAAAATTCTTCCTTTTGAAGCTGCAGGGAAGTATTTCTGTGGAAGGTGAAGCAAGCACGCTATGCAGTTAACATAAGCAATATGTTTCAGCTTAGGTTCCAAGCTGAAAGAGCAGCGTGGTTCCTTAGGGCATCCAGAGTATCTGTGGGAGAATGTTTAGAACTTAAGTCAATGCTCAAAATTAAAAATAATAGGTAGATAAACATGTTCAGGGCTATAGAACAGTAGCCTGGCCTACTACTTGCTCATGCTTTGATGGTATAGAGACAGCACCATGTTGAATTTTCCTCTTTGCAGTAAAGGGTTGGTGAGTACTTGATTTCCTTTACTTGCAGGTCAGAAAGGGAAGACTCAGAGTTGATCCTCCAAGAAACAGGGAAGGAAGACAGGACGCAGGTGAGCAGAAAGCTGATGTTGCAGAGTCATCATCCAGAAGCCTGGAGACTGTTGAGGCTGGTGGGAATGGCTAAAGGAGGCTTCAAGAGAAGGATCTGGAATGGGAAGAGAGACTATGGAGATCTGAGAATGTACAGGATGAAGAAGAAAATCCAAGTCAAGAGAATGTTTGTCTTCCTGTTCTTTTCCCATTTCATTAGTCCTCACCTTTTAAGTACACCCAATAAGCCACTGAGTGCTCTCAGGATAAGGAAATGCTGAAGATCAGTCAGGCAAAGGGTGTGTAAACCTTGTCTCTAATATTCACTGCATGTATTTGCAGAAATTTCTTAGTCTGCTGCAGCCTCAGTTTCTATATCTGTAATAAGGGGATAGTAATCAAATCAGATATAAAGGGAAAATAACTGAGAAAATTCACTTTCTGAGTTATGCATCTTCAGCACAGAATCTTGTAGTAAGTTCTAGCAATTTAAGTTTTTCATGTGGAAGTCCTCAAAATAAAGAACATAGAAAGGACACAGCAGACACAAAGGAGGGATTTTTAAGAAGTGTTTTATGTTAACTGATTTCCATCACAGCATGCACTACAACTTGAAATGGTGTCCCCAGCGCTCACCACCTCTTCTCTGAGGTATCTCCCTTACAGTCACTAGATAGGGTGGTCTTTCTGATGTGCTAGCTTTGCTTGCCTGTGCTCTCTAGCCGCTAAACTGGAAACAGGTACACAACAATCATAACTTCGCTTGAGAGCATAAGTCAAGGGTTCTGATAGTCTCATGTGTACAAATCTTTAGCAGCAATCTTACGAATTCTGCATTATCGCTGTCCCCACAGCAGGGGTGATATCTGAGGTAGATTCTGGAGATGTCCCTACCCATTGTGAAGGACAGCTGAATAACTAATGATGAATTAGAAAAGTTTAATATATGGGGCCAATGAGTTGGCTCAGCAGGTAAAGGCACTGGCCTCAGAAACTCTGAGGTATGCTCTTTTGCTCTTTAGCATCCATGAAAATGTAGGAGAAAAAAAGGAGCTGGCTATACAAAGTTGTCCTCTGATTTCACATGTACTTCCCTCCAACATACAATAATAGTAAATACATTTTAAAAGGTTAATGCATAAGGAGATAATTTAACTGAGTAGAATGATGAATGGGTATTTGTGGGTAAAGAAAGGGCAAAAGCATAAATGTGTCACATATGAAGGAAATATTATTTTCTGCAAAGATAAAAGAGAGAAAGTAAATGAATGGCGAAAGAAAGAAAGAAAGAAAGAAAGGAAGGAAGAAAGAAAGAAAGAAAGAAAGAAAGAAAGAAAGAAAGAAAGAAAG